ATTTTAAGCAGTTACCCCTGAGCTGCATGTTGTGGTTAAGTTTCAGCAAATGGCGGCATACGTGGTTGGGGTCACTCAATATCGGATACGCTAATATGAGATCGCCGCGCAGCCTTCGATAGCGTCCGCTGAAAATTCCCAGCAACTTTAGTCTTCGGTGGTAAGAGTGATAGCGCAGGCCCTTTACATTCTTTGTTGCTGTTCCTTGTGGCGCCTCTAATGCCGCTAGGTCGCGCTTCAACCAAGGTTACCAAGCTTGGATTGCGTATGCAACATGCGTGCGCACGTAGGAATTGTGTGTCATTGGGAAGATTGATGGGTCGAATCTCCCGAATGCCCTTCGCAGCATGCCGACGTGCTGGTTGCACTTTTTCGCAGCTATCTCAGCCTGTTTTGAACAGTTGAGATCGCTCTATACGATCACACCAACGTCAGGTTCCTTGGAGTTGGTCTGCAGTCCGTTTATCTCAAGTAAATAGGTGTAGTTATGTCTATGGCATAATTGTACAACGCGACATTTGTCTACGTTGAATGGTAGAGCGTTTTGAAGTGACCAGTTTGGCACCGTGTTAAGATCGCACTGGAGCCGTTCGTGGTCGTCCGGTCCTCTGATCATTCACCATATCTTGATATCATCAGTGAAAAATAGGCAATCGGAAGCAATTGATCTCGCCAAGTCGTTAATGAACACCAAGAATAGACGTGGTCAAAGCACCGAGACTTGGGGTACTCCACACGTCACGTCGATTGCATGAGAAAATGATTCTCGGACTCTCACCACTAACCGTCGTTCTTGTAGAAAATTGCCAATCCAACTCAGGATTGGGTCGCCAATGCCGTAATTTCGAAGCTTCTGAAGGAGAATTCGCTAGTCTAAGTGAGCAAGCGCTTTTGAACTGTCCAGGCAGTGGACATAGACTCCCATTCAATCATTAACAGCTCCAGTCCAACTGTTATGTGCAATGTATAGGTTAGGATTACACGAATGCTTTTGACGAAAGCCATGTTGCTCTGGGGCTATTAAATTGTGGCTTTCCAGGTATTCCATCAGCGCATCTGCGATGATTGATTTCATCACTTTGGATAGTACGGGAAGTAGTGTTATTGGACGGTAGTTGGCACGATCAGTGCGGCTACCTCCTTTATGAATAGGAGTGATGACCCCTCGCTTCCATACTGGTGGAATACGGTTCTCTTCTAGACATCGCTGATAGAAAACAGCCAGTGGTTCTGCTGGATCACTAGCTATCGCCTGCAGAGCATTTAGTCGGATGTTGTCAGCTCCGGGAGAACTATGGATGCGCAAGCATAACAACTTCTTCAACACCGCTTCCGCAGTGAAGATAATGTTTTCTAAACCAGATGATGGAGTATTAGAAATGAGGAGAATGTTTGGGTTCGTTACCTGTTGGAAAGTTTGGGACCAATGAAGCTGTAGGAGATCGGCTACTTCCATTGCTTATCGCGTGCATCCATCAGTCGTGACTAGTGCTGGAATCCCCCGCTTCACCTTTCGAAGGCCGTTAACATGCCTGTGCAGCAGTTTGCGGTTCGTGCAGAATCACTTCATTAACTCCTGCTGAGGACTCACCTTATCTTTGCGGATCAATTTCACACAGAAGTTGCGATGTATCAAATATGCAGTCCAGGTTTCGGCATTCGAGCAGTCCTGGTTATCTCGCCAGGCCAAATCCCTCCGGGACATACATTTACGTGTTCTGCTCCTCAGAAATGACTTGTGTTTTTTTGTGTTGGAGGGACTTCTGTCCCGATGCATGCACTACCAGTATGCTAAACGTCCTTATAAAGGTTTCCCAGGCAACATCTGGGGGCATTCGGTTAGGAAAGTCCAAGATGTATCCTTAACAAGCGTAGATAACACAGTATAGTGAGTGACAGTGTGCACCTCATCATCCTCATTTTCAGTATACTCCACATAGTCACATGATAAACATGGTCACTAAAACCCAGTGGTGTGCTTGTAAGTATTCTGTCAACCATGAGTTTTTCGTTAGCGACCACAAGATCCAATATCGTCCGCTTGTTAGCAGTTCGAAATCTGGTGGGAGAGGTTACGGGGTTGTACAGAGGTTGGCTAGCAATTAGCTCTTGCAAACAGGCTTTAAACTGCGTACCGTCGGTTACCTTCATTTCTATGTCGTGCGATAAGAATGCGGGTTTAGAACTTGTTCAAAGCAAACTGAAAGACATGGTTCTGTTTAGAGTCCAATTCCGACGTTGAGTCTACTCTGCGGTAAATCACGGCTAGTAGATATGCGACTTTGTTTCGCAACCATAGACGGCACCAAAGCGAATCAGGAGCGCGGATTTCCGGATGATCGATAACTTCACATCGGAGGTTTGTATTATAATAAAGAATCACACCACCACCCCTTCCGGTTCTATCGTTCCGAAGCAGCGACATACCGGGTAAATTGTTCTCAGAATCCGTTATCCCAATGTCAGACAAGATCTGATTAAAAGTCTCTGTAATCAAGACGGGTCCTGCGGTTGTGAGGCATGGAGTTCTCTAAGTTGCGCCAACTTACTTAGAAGGCCTTGGGAGTTTGTGTACATACAAGATGGGGATTTTTCTGTTAGGTGTGCGTTGATGAATGTGAACTTTGTGTTAAAGCCGGCCGTTAGATAGCCGGCCATTAATCATGTTTTGGTTTATGTATTTCAGTCGTGTTGCATGGCATTATTGAGCGTTCCTGAACGAACGTTTCACTCGTGCTGTGTACTGTTCTGTTGCGTGCCGTGGGTGCTGTTGTGTCGGTCTCCCCGCAGGACTGTGCAGATAAAGAATTTGCAGCGTTTGCAAGTTCCATCGCATTGCTTACGACTCTTGGCCGTTCGCCTGCTGCCTTTAGCCGGATCTCTGTTAGCAACCTGGCTCGAAACTTTAGCCAGCTATCCAACAGAACTTGCGTCATTCCCTCGGAGTTTACTATTACTTTCATTAGTCTTGTACTGCAGCCCTTGTAGTTAGGTGATGACGGAACTCTTGTCAAGGATTTGGCAATAACATTGTCAACAGAGAATGCTTCGCGGATGTAGTACCACTGCTCTCGGTCATGGGTTTGCGCATCGTGATCAGAAGAATGCAGAAGCTCGGGAACACCATGAACAAATATTGTTTTCTTGGTATCGCTATTAGGAATGCCGCGTTGGTCACCTGCTTCTTTTGGGCGAGCTTTCCAAGATAGATCGGGTACTATGCGCACTCCGCTCGGTGAGTTTCGAAGACGAACTGCTGAGAGCAGGACAGCCTCTGTCTCATCTGCTGAGTCTAGTGTTACTCGAAGAACTCGAGGCTCACCAGAGTGCACTGTGGTCGGGTGACGCGCTACGCGGTACAGCATTGTAGGCCCAACCCAAATACCAATCGCATCGCAGATGGAACTCCACTGGTTGCGATCGTCTTGCAACTTGCCTTTTGTTGTGCCAGATTTGGATTCGGAACATTGGTGCGCACGAAAGTTAACGCAGCGTGCTTTTGTCTTGCAAGTGTCGGCTTTATACTTTTTGCCGGCAATTTGGGTTGTTTAGAAGACATCACTGGAGTTGACCGCGAGAGCTGCGTTGCTCCACGTGTGCTCGGTATAGAAGATGGACCTACATGTGTCACCCCCGAGTGTGTTTGTCGAGGCAATCGGTGCGTACGTTACCTGCTTGTTATCTGCACCGGCCTGCCTTCGGCTCTAAGTTGTTGGTGTCATGGCTGAATCTCCAGCTGAAGCGTCTAGAGTTGGAGAAGTGGAAGCAGGCATGTTTGAGGCTTGTTCACTTATGGGAGTGATGTGCCGCAGTGGATTTAGAGACACAGACGCTGCAGTGTGGTTGGAGCGTCTAGATGTTTTCTTCGGCTTAGATTCAGAGCTTACCTTGGCTGGTTGAGGTATTAGCGTAGGCATGTTTGCCTCGGTGGAATCAATCATAGTATTTACCAAATGCGCGATTATCTCAGTCATCCTATCGCATTTTTTCATGAGCAAAGATAAACAGTTTACAACTGGAATGACTTGACACGTTGGACAAAACCAAACTGTGTCCGCAACTTTGTTTGTCTGTCTCACTTCTTGGACGGATTTACCTACTCATTGCGGAGAGTATGGTCTAATGCAGTTAAAACCGATTATTCCCATCTTAGGGACTTTACTGCAATTGTCTGCGCAACATACGCGACGTTGGACCATTGGAATAATTCTACTGATATGTGTGATCACGATCAGTAATGGGGCAGCGAATTAGGAATGACCGCAGATTGTGGTGATATGGTGTAAAGATTCCACACTAACAAGATGGAATGGAGCAACTGGATGTGTACACTACAACAGTGGTAGCAAGGGGACAGAGATACTGACGCACCGTTTATGACTTCGCTTCACTTTTCTTTGCGTGGCGGTCGGCGCTGGTTTGAGGTCAGAGGGGTCAGACGTGCCGTGTCCAAAGGAGGCACACGTTCCTTAGTGTAGATATGCGACATGCGTGTTATCGATCCAGCCGGTGAGTGGATAGGCAGCGATGCAGCGTAGGATTGAGGCAAAGAAAGATGACTTGGAAAATATTGCCTAATGACGACAGTGGCTGTTCCAAAGGCAGACCAAATTGACAACTATCGCTTTGTACAGCGACTAGAAGGAATGGAAGTGAGGTGTTGGGATGACTCACAAAAGCTCTTTAAAATAAGCTCACAAGAGTTCTTGTGCGACGAGAGGAAAAATAAATTCCCTGATAAAATTCAAACACGGCTGACTTAGAAGTTGCAAAAGCACAGTTTGCTGGTGATCCGTGAATGACAGAACCAAAAGATGAACAGTGGTAGGAGGAGCTCGCAAGCAAAAGTGAACTAACAAGAAACTGTTCGAAAGTGATAAATATTTGGTAATGTAAAGAGCTCTGGTCACTGTACGCAAACACACATGTGACATACAAGCCGCCACCCAACACTTTCCTGGTTTTATTCATTATAATATAAGACCGGTGTGTTCTTTCAGTTGCAACAGCGGGCTCAAATGGCAGAGGCGGATTTCTACGAACACTTGGTGGAAGTGCGACGGGAGAGTGAAATTGAATTGGCCAAAACGATCACTCGAAAGAATGCGGAGCTCAAAGCCCTTCAGGAGGAGACGGAATGCAAGCATCGGGAGATGAAGCAATCAGTGGATATGCTGGAAAGGCAATTAGCAGCAGCCATAGAAAACGCAGATCAAGTCCGGAGACAGTGTGAAGAACAGGTGGGGAAATATTAATGGCACTCTGTCTGTAAGTGTGAAGTTTAGATTCTACATCCCCTTGGTACAGACACCACTAATTCTAAGGAGTAATGGCGTCATTAACACAAATGAAGCTGCACAAGGCGAGTAACTGGTTGTTCGTTTCCTAGCGGTTAATCTCCACAAAATATGGACACCAGTACCGTCGTCGTGAGCTAGTTCGACGGAGAGAACTTCTCTTCGCGGAAGCAAACTTTCTTCACTCTCAGTCATTTTTACTGGTAGCGTGAAGTTGAGGTTTATTTACTGGTCACAACAGGCTTAAGACCAATGGACGCGGGTTCCGCGAATGGCAACATCAAGACCTCTGTTTATCACCATGGCGCACAACGTACTTTTCCGTTGTGTGGAAGGTATCTCATAAGACGAACTTGCGAGATGAAGCAGTGGCACCCATAACTGGGCAGCATAGATGATTGCTTAAAGTTTAGCGATCTGCGTGGTTACACCGAAAGCAGCTAGGGAGTAATTTCGGTGCATAGTTCGTTTTTTGCAAACTCTGAACGACTTTACTCTAACTACTGCGTTTTTTCTGTCACCAAGACCTCATTTCAAAATTATTGACCGAGTACGGAGGGAGACGGCATGGGCGTCCAGGTATGTGAGAGCTGCACTCCTAATGTCTTGCTTCGTGCCTATTGGTTAGTTTTTGACTTAGAAGGAAGAACAGACACGGAATATTGGATAGTGGCTAGTAGATTGGCCGATCTTGAGGGGAATCGAACCCACACCCCATGTGACAGTTAAAAGACGTGTGACCCGTATATTCCAGTCATCTTCCAGTTGTTTTTTCCACGCCGTATCAACAGTACCAGCGGAGTAACCGGCAAAGAGTAAGAGCCTTACGCAATAGGTCTAGGAGCAGTAGCTTGTTATATGAGGTAATGCCACTGCTACCGATGACAGTCTCCAGGTGACAACTAGTGAAAATTTTTAGCGATTACTCCAAGTAGAAAGTCCAATGTGATGTCAATGCTATCAGGGTACTGTGCAAATCGTTGCTTGCCTATGGCCGGACACCGTGAATAGTTGTACATTTTACACGCATTACCAAGTTTATCAACAATGAGGTCATACTCATTCATTGTTTGTTAATTGCAGTCGAAACAGATGCAAGCCTCAATAAACGCTCAACTGGAAAAGTTGTTCCAAGAGAACGCTGAGCATAGTGAGCATTTGGATCAAAAGCATGCGGAAGAAATACATCAACTCAAAACGGCACACGATTCAGACCTGTTACGTTTGAAGGAACAAACAGCAACGGTTGAGAAACTGAGGGCAGATTTGAATGAACAGGTGAGTTCCGGTCCATTAACACCATCATCAATACACTTTAGCTGAGGGTGAGAAGAACACCTCGGCCAATGGCCGCGATACAAAAAGAAAACAATACTAAAAATTAAACTACGGAGAATTCCAAAAGCAAGTACTATAATATTAGATGTTGTATGATGCTTTCTGTTTGAGCACCTAATTAGATGAGGAATCTAAAGGGGAGGGGGATGGACAAAGGAACTCACAATACAAACGCTTTTGGGGCCGGCTCTTCGCCATGTCAGCAGTGTATCCAACCGAACGTGTTCATCGTCCTTAGGACCCCAGCTAGGCAGTCGGGATGCACCAACCGATGCCAGCTTCGAAGTGAGGGTTCTCATTTCTCTCGACCGTCATTGTTTGGCCTCCGCTCCTTCCAATCGCACCCCTGGCGCGCTAAACAACGCACGTCGCGGGAGTCTGTGACCCAATCATCGGGACCCGGTGCGTGATATAACGGTGCTGGACGGTTCATTCCCTCTTTCTGTACCAAATACGCGATGACGAACACGTTCATTGTGCACGCGGTGCTCGCACCAGGTGTGAGCTAAGCTTAGAAGCAACCAGAGAGAAAAGAATGCATACTGGGACGGTTGGTAGAAGCAGTGTTTTTTCCCTAGTCGATTTTGAAACAATCAAGGTCAAGGACGAGTAAATCAAGGATTGCATTGACTCGGACACTGATCGTCTGTCTATAGCACTCGATCAGGAGAAATGCACTACACACTAAAGACGAGCCAGCTGAATTTCACAAGCTGTCCACAATAGTCTCATCACATTTATGTGCGATAAATCCCAGCCAGACAAGTTTGTGGAACTCTTACTCCATCACAGGGCCCACGGATTTCCTTATCTCAGTCATTAGTGTCTACCTGAGTTCGGATTATTCGGTAAACCCTTCGAAGTTGCTTTCTTCCAGTTTCCGTTGTGTACTTTGCCTGATGCACCAAACTTCAAAGACGAAAACCACGAATTCGATAGCCCGACCCCCTATCGAATCTTGTCTTCGATGATGTAATACCAATGCCATATTACAACTGGCCTTCCAGCTAGCACCATACAAAGCAAACTGACTTCAAAAACCGCAGTTTTCTTGGAGTAAGGAATTCCTTGCCTAAATTATGCATTCCGAAATCTCAGCACGGAGTCCCGTCAGTGTAACAGATGCTGCAGACATGTGGTTCCCAGGAATGCATGTGAGGAACTCATCCGACATCACTGTTACGGCTCACATGCAAACAGCGCTTACATGCCAGTCGTCAGCTATGTGTATCCGAATACACACATGATGGCTCGAATTGAATCAAGCTCACTGAACTTTTGGTGAAGGTCGTTACGTTTTACGGGTAACGATACCACACTGCACAACATGGCAGAAAGCACAGGCTTGAGCAGGGGACCTTGAAATGCATATCAGAGTACCGCATCCTAGTGATGATTAAACCACGCCGATCGCATCAATTTCTTGGGTTAGATAACATAACTTATGCCCACAGTGAAATAACATATGAAGAATGGATCAGATTAGCCTCAGTGGGCAGTGCTCGCGCTGCCGGGGCAAGCGCGATGGTGACACATGCTTAGATTGGTAGCTAACAGTGAGTCTATCTCTCGAGGTTCTACACCGTATTTCGTGAGCCTGCCTGCTATTCAGCTAGCAAAGCACCTCGGGCAAGAATATTTCCAATGTACATCAGAAAGCTTGTGGTACCCTCGTAAGGTCTAAGGAACTCTCTCTTCCCATGAATGCGAAGGGCTGGGCACACTTTGCAACCTTGTCGGAATTGAGCATGACCCAGCCCAAGTTCTTACCTAGGCTACTTCATGTATGCCATTAGCTGCGGTGTGCTTAATGGCTGTGAACTGCCCGGTGTATGGCCGTCCTTTTCCGAGAACTCAGGCCAGTCATTCACGATATAACCTTGAAGTCAATGTTGAAGAGATCGATGGATCTCCACTGTCGTCGCTGATGTTCAACTGGCGTCAGTTTCTCAGCTTTTCGCGCCACTTATGTTTTTGAGCTTCGGAAGTGTTTTACGGTTTAGCAATCATGGATGTGAGCAGATTTTACTTCCTACTATATGTTAAGACACAGGTGGGTCTAGGCGAAGAGAAATGATATCCTACTTCGAAACTAAGGAAGCTGAAAGAAAAAAACTGGGCTTCGACCGATAAGCGAAGAATTCCTTATTTCCATGAGTTTATTTTTATTGTGCAACTAACAAGTGCACGCAATAACTCCAGGGTCATCCGATTTCTTCTTCAACTGCTAACAGGCCAGACACGTTAAACAAATGGAAATACTCTGTGCTGAATTGACGGAAGAACGGAACAATGCACTCGAACAGCGTCAACTGATGGAACACGAATTAAACGAGAGAACGGAGCGTATCGTCGAAATGCAGAATGAGCTAAATGAAACAAGCCTAAGGTGAGCTAGATATCCTATTCATGTTCACGCTCACTTCCATGGAATGTTTTTTAGAAGTTTTCAAATGGACGACATTCGTAATAAGATAAAGTGGATATTTCTCGGCAAGGCGAGGCACTGGTCTGGTCAAATAGCTACAGCGAGATGGCATAAAACAGATGGCTGAACATTTGCAGCATGGTTTACAAAGGAATTTAGAGTAAACTGTAGTTGAATGTGTTGGCAGGATTAGTAAATTGTGAACAAGAACGAATGGACACATGGTCAACTGTTCAAGCAATGTAATACGGCAATCCGTGGAGCTGTCTCCTGGGACCGTGCTTCCATGCAGGGTATTTCCCCGAAAGGTTTCACCTGCACTTCCATAAACCCATTTGGCTGTGTTCTTGTGTGGCGTAATCTCACAAATGCCAGTACATCTTTTGCACCTCTTTAGGGTTGCATGCTTATATGAACAATGAGCAACGGTTTACCACGGGTAAACATACCGATGCTTAGCGTGTCTCATAGGATGGTTAAGTGAAAACAAAGAAACCCATAGTTGTGTCATCATTTTATGCACCCACCGCCATCAGTGCGCAGATGATAAAATGTTTGTAAGAGATTCGAATCATGTGTTATCATCTAGAATAATGTGTGGATCAGTTATAGTTTGGACTCGTCTCATGAAGTTAGCCTGAGTTGGGATGGAAATCAGAGCCCAGTGGTTCACGGCTGACGCCATAAACACTATGCCACTGAGATCCGTGAGTAACGCTTGGTACAGCGGAAAATAGATGTTACTTGTAGCAACCCAACCACACAACGGATTCTCCAACGCTAACTTTTAATTCGTTCCCGCTGTACCAAGAGTCGCTCCCGGATCTCAGTGGCATAGTGTTTATGGCATCAGCCGTGAACCACTAGGCTCTAATTTCCATCCGTGCTCAGGCTATCGCCACCTGATGAGTCCAAACTAGGACGAAACCGCGGTCGTGGGGTGCCAGTGTTGGAATGAGCAACACCAAAATATTTCCAACATCTGGTTACTTGTTGGTGATGCCCAGAGAGGAGCAACAACTGGCTTTGGGATAGAGTTCCGGGATTGACAAACCGGGACGAAAACCTTATTCCCTCGGCATTCTAGAGGGCCGTACTATTCACTCGGTTTTAGGGGATTACCTCTGGGCTTGGTACTGTTACCAAGCTTCCGTAAATGGTGACATATGTAACCCTGGGATCATTGTAAGTTTAGCACACTAATATAAAACCTCCATGGAGCCGTCGGAAGCGTCCTCTGAGAACCCAGTAACTTCAGTCCTTACTTGTAAGAGAGTTTGCGTAGATCCATGACGTTCTTTGTCATCCTGTGTTGCGGAGCCTCGCACCTGGAGGCCGCATTTTAACCAAGGTGTCCAGAATTTAAACGCGTATACAACATGGTGGCGCACGTAAGGACCGTGCAGCATCGTGAAGATTGGCAAGTCACAACCCCCGAATACCCTCAGCAACAGGCCGACGTGCTGGTTGCTTCTGTTTGTATATTCTCCAGACTTTTTGCATAACTTAGGTCATTCCGCATGAGCTACCAACTGTCATCTTTCTGCAAACTGACCTGAAAACCATGTGTTCCAAAGCTTTGCGTGTAATCATACCCATGGCGTAGTTAAACAACTCGACACTTTTCTACATTGAACGGTAAAAGATTTTAAACTGACCAGCTCGAAATCGTGTCGAGATCGTGCTGGAGCCCTCCGTAGTCATCCGGTGTTGTCGGAGAACAAGTAACCTTCGTAAAGGTTAACCCCTTTCCAAGTTTCCGTCTGCTTTTATCGTGGACATCATCATGGAGTATACCACTGTAAATCGTATGATCTAGTTCGTATGGATCTGCCGGAGGAAAAGCTGGTTGAAGTGGCTAAATAGGATGATATTCCTTCTAATTGGTGATAGCGAGATGATAAGGCTCATCCTTGCCCGATTTGTTATTCATGTTTGGTTTTTGCATCGCACTTCGCGCCCCTTAAATGTGGTGTGCCACGAGGAACAACCTATTTACGTGTCCAGTGCATCTTAGGGACGACTGACTATGGATAGCTGATCGACAAATTATCTCGGCATCTGTGATCGTACCGGATGCGGCATGGCTGCTGAAATTAGTTTACGGACCGAGGAAACTAGTGACGCCTTTATTTTTATGCGATCTAATTGATGAAGGAAGAAGATTGTTATTAGTTTTAAGAGGCCTACACAGGGGCCGACGGTGGAGGCTGTTCATTTCCACTACAAAGCGAATTAGGCCATTCGGCCTGAAGGTATCCGTTTGCGATGTACTACTACTACGTAGTAGGTGTGGATAGGCGAAAGCGCAAGGAAATGAGTGAACTCGTGGATCAAAGCGGACGAAGAAAACCTGTGCAAAAATTCACAGATGAACGATGCATGGTGCAAAAATCTGTCTACACCATGAACGATGTGGCGCAGCGGAGGGGCGAATCGGAAAGGTACCACAAAGGAAGTGTGTAAAAGTGCTCACATTTCTATATTCGAGCTGTACTAGTATCTAGACGTGTTGGTTCTACCAGTAGTGACACGGAAGGCAAGGATCACTGACAGAACGGACAGGCCGCGTAGACGAAGGAAGAAGAAAAGTAACGAGGACACCGGGGACGAAAGTCAACAAAGCAGCTCGAGGCCTACAGGACAAGCTGAAAATGGACAACAAACGACACACGATGTCAGGGCCAGGCGGAGTAGAGTGTGGGACGTATTTCAATTTCCGGAGAGATACTTGTTTGGGCACGCCTCTAGAAATAACCACGGGGAGAGCTACGCAACCCAGCGTAAGCAAGTCAAGAGCATTAGAACGAATCCAGCTTGGTCAGAATGGGACGTGCAGAAGTGAAGATACGAGGGCAAATCGACGAGCGGCGATTTCACTAACCGTCTGAAACCAGGGCAGGAATGTGACGCTAAGCGAAAGACCAATGTGTAGTGCGTGGTTGTCGGGAATTGTCCTGCATACGTGCGTGATAGCCTGTGAACCCGCTGTGCGTGGGTATTAAAGACTGTGCACCCCTACCGTCCTTCTCTCTACATTAGGTATAACTCGTCTGCACTGCGTCGCGTTCTCAACAAGTTAACTTCGCTGCTCTTGCCATTTTTGTCTGCTTTGCAGTACGCTTGCTGCATAGTACCAGTGTATTTGTAATAAGAAAGTGCGCAGGTGTATCAGATTGATGTTTGGCTTATCTTGTTAGTGAAACAAATGGGACCGAACACATTGTTGACCCGAGCACATGTTACCTGTGATGCCCCACCACTTGCCGAGTAGTGGCTTGCTCCATTTACCTAGTCTAGGCTGACATAATATTCAAGGGGGATGAACAACCGCGGGTGTAGTGGAGATATTGATCCATCCAGTGTTTCAGGAAGGAGACAACGAGAGTACTTTGCTCTTAGCTCGTACTCGCAAGGAAAATGGGTCGTAGCAAACGGCATTAATCTGCTCCCGAAATTTGCTAACCGAGCTGTCAGTGTAAATGGCATACATGTCTGTATCATCTGTGGTGTATCCTCGATCACGACGTTAGCCATTGACGGCTACAAGTAGTTTATCTCACCAATGCCTCTAGTGCGCATAGGACAGCCACTTCTCTGGGACCCTAGAGTGCCGACAACTTGCAAATGCCTTGATGCAATATTTTTATTTGAGGCACTTAAGCCATACATCGTTATTTCATGGACACAAATGTAGATTCGTTGCTGTTGACATTGCAGTTGCTGCCACCGAGAATGTGAATTACGGTCATAACAATGATGACGATGATGATGATGATTGCAATTTGGATATCGATGAACTTATATACCTGTGGTTGTCCAGTTCATCTCTGAGTCCAATACTTAGGAAACGCAACTTCGTATTGTGCACCGTGAGAACAACCTTACATTACTCGGCTCCCCAATGGAAAAGTTGTGGGGGTTCGTTGAAACCGTTCTTGTTCACCATAGCTTAAAGCAAAGGCGGATTCATCTAGAGATGAAATAAGCAACAATGGAAAATCACGCAACGAAATTGAAACCAATCGGCTCCATCATGTACGATGATGGTGGACAATTATGTACAGCTGGGACCACCTATTTCCTGTTAAGGCTTCTATGCACTTAAGTGCGGTGTTCAGAATGTACTTATATGTGACCGTGGTGACAGCTGGTAATATTAAAAAAAATACGCATGGGGAGACCGCTGCTAAGGATAATTAATTTCGGAAACCAGACAGCCCTTTAGATGGAATACCAAAGTAAAGCAAAAGCTGTTGACACAGGCATGTCCCAACTCAGTGCTAAGGCTAAGATTCAGTAAGCTAAAGCCATGTATTTAAAAGCATGTCAGTGGTAGCTTTAAGCTCTTTGGTTAACTGTCTCTGTATTGAAACAACATGATGTTTAGGGAATACTTACTTCAGTGTTCGATTGGAAATCAGCACTTCTCCAAGCAGCCTATACACTCGTGCACCACTGATCCAAAGAGTTCCAGTATGATCCGACGCTTAATAGACTTGTTGTCAGCTTGAGATCAGGTGAATGCAGACTTAGCATCTGTGAATAAGGGGCAATGTGTTCGAATCCTGTTAGCAGTTCTTGCATCATCGTCCTTCGCCCAACTCATTTATACAGGCTAAGGAACCTAGAGGTGGAACATGACCGGTGCTTACGACAACAGACGGACGCAATTATGCACATGCAACATGAAACGGTGAAACAAATGTCCAAAACCCAACAGAATTGCACAGATGCACTCAACGCTTTGAACACAATGATTGGACAACTGACAGCGGAGGTACTTGCAAGGAAATTTTCCCATATCCTTTATGAATATCCAGATCAAACGAGATTCTTTACGAGTAAACTGCGTCTTTCGGACACATACAGTGAAAGAGACTGTATACAGAAATTCTACATCTCTTGGTGCCGAATGTTGATTCAGACTGAAGCCGTTAATGATAGTTCCCATTAGTAAACGTATTCCGCTTATCGGAAGACATACCAATTTATTTGCTGATTCAATAGTGAAAGGTAGCTGATTGTGATATCGATTCACTCTGACCGTATAATGGTAACACTATGAAAGTGTTTCATGTATACTCAGTACTGCAACGCAAATGGAGTGGTAGACAGTCAGCTTTTGCTGATGGGTCCTATTAACCTATCATAAGTCCATACGTGAGAAACACCATTATCAATGTAGAACTTCCCGCTGCCCACGATGAGACTCACAATGGCCATAAGAGCTCATTTTTGACCGTGAATATATGCAATGGACGAGTGAAGGAGCAAATAGGTGCTTACTAAGCGCATGAGATTAGCAGTAGAATTTTCTGGGCCAGTGACTTTATCACTTAGTTAGGATTGATGACTCCAGTCCAAAGAACTTAAATGCACCACCGCGAATGACATAACAGTTGAATCAGAAATATGCAGGTGAAATCAGCGTACACCTTTGGCAACAGCCATTCAATTTTGTCGCGTGACAAAGGAAATCATAGTACTCACACACATATACTGCAGGACACTCACCTAACAATCCCAGCTATACGTGTAGTGAATTACTTTGACAGTAGAATTGTCGGCCCTGAAAATCCAGATGAGCTGCGGTAGAATGAACTCAAAAAGCGATTAATGTGAAAGAGACAAAGAGAATGAGCCTCTTTGACTTCACAGATGCGTCTCACCGGGTCTCCAGCCTCTGAAATGGGGCTGATCTTAGCCAGTACTAATTGGTCTAACCAAGCGTTTTAGATACTTGTTTGTTCTACTCATATTGTTAACTGACGATGAGATGTGTTGATAAATATTGTTTAGCGGCAATTATTTCAATCAGCTAGAACAAATATCATTGCATAAACTACATTGAATTGAGCATTGCGTACCGAGGAGAGGCTGGTTTTGCTTGAGGTATATGGAACGGCGCTAGGCTCTGTAGGAGACAGCATTTGACCTGGTATAGGGGAAACGAAGACCTTGGCGACTAAACCGAGTCCACGTGACCCACCTTATGTTTGACTCGAGACGTTACAGGACACGGCTCTCAGTCCACACCAGTGGCGCGTCTGCTGTCTTCTCCTAGTCTGCAGTGTGTTTGGTGCTGAGTTATCTGCGCGGTAATGACCGATTACGACGCGGAGCAGGGAACGCTGCAAGGAAGCTGTCTCCCTGATGCCCCCGTATCTTTGCACGATAGCCGACTGTTTGTGATGGTACGCTGTTGACAAGGTGTAGGCGCCTTGGGTCACGGTGTTTCTTGTGCGTATTAAGGTTTTACGAAAGGTCCCCCTTCTCTCCCTCTTATTGTTCTTTGTTCCGTAGATCACGCTGGTTGTACGGCAGCGAAACGTCAGTTCAAATGACTGATATACTGCTGTTGATGATGCAAGAAAAATCAATAACTTATGCTTGTAGTGGCAATCTAGATTAGAGTTGTGCAATTTGGACAATAATGGGTATGAATACCAATGGATTCCAGGGAACTTCTATTGCGGGTGAGCTCCGATACGACTTGACAACCATCTGCTGCTCTTCTGATTAGTTGGAGTCTATACTTCTGGGTTCAAGTTCCATTCGGAAACTCTTATTCACTCACCACACCCACGAATATGCCAGTGGCAGCATGGCAGTGAAGCACTAGCGCTACTGCACAGTTATCATAGCATTTTGAGCTACCCATTCGACTTTTTCATTCATTCAGTA